CCACTTTTTGTTCGATTCAATGCATTTTTTGGACCTGGGCATTCTGCACTACTATATGGGCGCAGTGATGTGGAGACTCATATCATTGCAATTTTTCGGTGTTTACCACGACGACGACCACGATGACGTGGACATTGCTATAAATGAGTCTATGAAGCAATGGTATCGTAGCATGGGTGTTCCTTCCGCTGAACGGCAGATTGGCCTTTCTTCATCCATGTGCGGCACTAGGGATGACCCGCTGCTTAAACTGAAAGCGGGCAAGTCTAGGAAGTTATTGCCGTACGTTGTGCACTTACTTCGTGACCAGGGCGGTCAGTTGCTGCTGGACGACGCCGACCCTGCCATGCGTGAGGGTACCAAGCTGCTCACCGTTGGCACTGGGCTGCTGGATTACAGCGAGATCTTGCGCGGCCAACCGCGCAGAATGGATGAGCTGGCTGTCCTGCACTTGGAGAGCGTCATTTTTGACGCCATGGCAGCTTGGATCTCCGCAGGCCGTAAAGTTGTCATGAAGTTTCATGTCTGGGCCAGACACCTTGGCGCCCAGGCGAGGTTTGCTGGAAATCCAGGCTACGACCGATGGCCCCCAGGACGCGTGTTAGCCTTGCCGCGCGTTTGCCTTTAAGACCTGCGTCGGGCGAAAGCTGAGGGCGAAACGCGTTGTCGGGTAATGTGCTTTCTGGGGGCCATCGGCAATCCCACAATTACAGGGACGAGACGGAAAACTTTGGAACGCGGAAGCGTGCGACAGGGATCAACCGCGCAAAGTTTGCCGAGAACGCAGCAGTTAAATGGTACATGCAGTACCTCCAGCGGAGACGCTGAAAAAAAAACAAAAAACAAAAAACAAAAAAAACATCAAAAGCAGAGGGGGGAGGACGAGGAAAACAAGGAAGCGGGGGAGAGGAGGGAAGCGGACAAAGACAACACCAACGAGCAGCCGTAGTCGCGATCGTTTTCGTTAGTCAGCTTGTCTACGGTACATGGCCATGGGGCAATGATGAAGCCAGCTTGCGTTTCGGCCCACGTGCTGTTTAGGGTGTTCGGGCTGCGTTCCAGAAGCTGTCTGGTCATGAGTATGGCGGATGTGGTGTTTCGTTTCTCCGACGACCCCGCTGCGTCGTTGTCGCTGCGGGTCCAACGGGCGCGTGGTCAATGTGAGCTCGTGGGGTGCATTTTTCGGAGAGGAGGCTCAATTCGGTTTTAAAGGCGGTTGGGGAGGACCGCGAACTGCCTGGGCGTTAATTGGGCGTGGTGTCAGGCCCTATTTGGAGTGTTTGGTGCACGGGTGGGTTTGGCATGTGAACCAGAATCGGCCCGCCTTCCAGCAATCATGGGGTCTCGGTGGAACGGCCGGGCCTACCAGGGAGGAGGAGAGGGAGGAGGAAGAGGAGGAGGAAGAAACGATGGGATGATGAGGGGAAGGATAATGAGACGGAGAAGAAAGATGATGAGGACGAACAGGAATAATATGTAAGATACTGATGAGGAGTGAGGAACATTCCGAGACATCGCGAGGCGGCCGTGGATTGTTTCCAAGCTCTGCACTGTGTGCCGCCCACCCCTTGACGCCAAGAGGTGGGCGGCACACTGTGCGGACATGCCTCGGGGATGTGCATCCCCGACGCGCAGCATGTCCGCGCTCCGCTGCGCACTCGCATAGTTCTTGGCGGATCTGGAGGCAACGGGGAGAAGCGCGCCGAGGCCCCTATGGGCCTCATGGTTTCCTCGCCCTCGATGGGGATGGGGGCCCGCGTCGACGCCCCTCTCACATGTTTATCCTCCCTCTCTTCCCCCTCCTTCTCCTCCTCTTCCGCCTCCTCCTTCTCCTTGTCCTTCTCCTCGTCCTCGTCCTCGTCATTCCTTCTCCTCCTTCTCCTCCTCCTACTCTTCCTCCTCCTCCCCCCGTCCTCCTCCTCATCATTGCTCCTCCTCCTCCTCGACTCCTTATCCGTCTCCTCTCCCCGTCGCGCGTCGGAATCCCATGTCTTTCCTCCTCCCCTCCTTCGCTTATCCTTGTGTCCCTTCTCCGTTTCCCTCCTCTTTACCAATTTCCTTGTTCGCCGTCCCATCCCTCATATCCTCCTCCTCCTCCTCCTCCTCCTCCTCCTCCTCCTCCTGGGTTTCGCCCTCCAGGGGCCATCAGATAGCTCAAACGACGAGGGGGCTTAAGTCCTCGGGCTGAGATTGGCCGCGCGTGCACGCGGCAATATAAGAGGGAGGGAGAGAAGGAGGAGCAGGAGGAGGAAGAGGAGGAGGAGGAGGAGCAGGAGGAGGAGGAGGGTCAGGACAAGGAGGATATGAGGGATGGGACGGCGAACGACGAAGAGGGCTCGAGGAACGGCGAGGAAGAGGAGGAGGATGTGCGGAAGATCGATCGGGAGAGAATGAGGAGGACCAAGGCCGCCCAAGCGACTTCGGAGCAACGTTGAAAACAATGAGTCTGGTCTGAGACGGCAACAATGATGTGATGCCAATGAGAATAAGTATGATGGTGATGGTGATGGTGATGGTGATGGTGGTAGTGATGATGACG